CTGGTTCAAACTTCTGACCCTTCTGCCTCACTCTTTCAGAGTCCTAGGATTACAGATGTGATCCACCATGCCCACTGTAACTTTTTCAAAGAAAAATGCCTATTTATATATAATAAAGAATCGCCAGGAGTAGTGGTGCAGTCCTGTAATCCAAGAACTCAGGAGGCTGAGGCAGGAGGATTGTTTCCAGTTAGGGGCCAGCCTGGGCTACAAAGTGAGCTCAGCTACAAAGTGAACTGCATAGTGAGACCTTGTCTCAAAAAGTCAAAAAATAAAAATTATACAATGAAAAATCAAAGGATATTAATCAAATGTCAAAAGTGGTTACTAATTGGATGATTAGTAACTTCTGTTTCCTTCCTTTTGCTTACCTGTATTTTTTGGGGTTTTTTTTGAGACAAGGTCTCACTATGTAGCCCAGGCTGGCCTTAAATTTGCAATCCTCTTGCCTCAGCCTCCCAAATGCTGGGATTACAGTCACACACCTGGCTAAAAAATTACAATAGAGGGGAAAAAAATTAAAGTCTGACCAGGAGCATTTTGTACCTCTTTCATCATATTTCAGAAAAGATCTGAGACGACAGAATATTGCTCTTCACCCAAAACCTCAAACAAACATACTTACCCTAGGTGACCAGATAAGTTTCCCCTCTGGGACTATGGTGGCTCCGCCTTAATGGTCCACCCTTTTTAGGTGAGGTAGCATGAGTCTTGTCACTCAGCTACCGTATAACAAGACCCTTCCCTTAGTTGGGCTCCAGTTTTTTCTTCTGTAAACTCGGGAATTAGAATCAGTGACCCACATTTCTAGATGTAGAGGGAAGACAGAAACCCGAGGGGTGTGTGTGTGTGTGTGTGTGTGTTTGAGCATGTGGCCATTACCTCCTAGGAAAATATTCCTTATTATTCTCCTGTGTCTCCAGCCTAATAAGTCACTCCAAGACCAGGCCTGACCTCATATGTCCTTCCGGTCTTGGTGTAGGACTCAGCATATGATAGGTGCTCAAAGAATTACCTTTTTGCCTCCATCTACTATGAAACCACTCCAACAGTTTCAAGTCTGCTCATCAGTGGGTACTCCTGATGGTGACCTGGAGCTCACGGACCATTCTAACTACTGCAGCATATACACTGTGGATTTTTTTTTCCTGAGGTAATTGGCACAATGTTTATTTGTAACAATTTTCCACAAAGAGATAGAGTCAGTTCTTATTTATTTACTTTTCCTCCGATACTGGGGATTAAATTCAGGGCCTTCGCAAAGAGCTACCTCCCAGGCTTCCCCTCTTTTTTTTTTTAAATTTTTATTTTTATTTTTATTTTTTTTCAGGCGCTGTGCCGCTGAGCTAAATCCCCAGCCCCCATCTCCCCCCTTTTTAAAAGACAGGGTCTTGCTATGTTGCTAAGTTTCCCCTACTAGGCTCAAGTTGCCATCCTCCTGCCTCAGCCTCCTAGAGTGCTGAGATTACAAGGCATGGGCCAATACTCCGGCTGGATACTTTTCCTAAGGCTAAAAAGTCAGTGGCAGAAGATGGAGAGAACAATATTTAAAGCGTCTCCAGCCGGGGCCTTTGTCGCAAGGGCCTGTCTCGGGGACCCAAGCTCCAAGCATCTCATCCCCGGTGGGTGTCCAGGCTGCTAGTGGACAGCTTCCGGAAACGGATCTGCTATGGTCTGAGGCTTCACAAAAGTCCTGGTTGTCACTAAAAAGCTGTGCGACCTTGGACAAGTCCCTTCCTCCTGCAGGAACGCTGCAGTGGGCTTAAGTGCCTTCTTCCGGAATTGCAACCTGGCCGGCCAACGGTCGTAAAAAACACTCGTCTTTCAACGTTTCGCACCTCGACGCCTAGCGCGTGGAGCGCCGGAGGGAGAGCACTACAGGGGTCGCAACGCCGGAACGTGCAGAACCCGCCCGCGCCCCAGCTCTCGCGAGATCTCCTCCCAGCGCCGCGCGACGTCATCCCCTCGGCGGCAGTCGCGGCCGCAGCGACCGCGCGTAGGTACCACAGGGGCGGCCCGTATCCCTCCGCCGTCGGCGCGGCTCGGCCCTCCCTTCCCGGCCCGCCAATCCCTGCGTCTCCCGACCTGCTCCTCGGCCGGGGCCCACCCCGTGCTCCCGCGGCCCCACCCCGGCGGCGCCGCCCGCCCGCGCGTCCCTCTGTCCACCTGCAGCGGGCAGGCAGGCAAGCAGGCAGGCAGACAGGCAGACAGGCAGGCAGGCAGGC